TTTTTTTTAAGTAAGTTAAAAGATTGATACGTTTTTTTTTTTTTTTTTTTTAAAATAGTAACAATTTGAATAGCAATTTTTAACAACAATTTACCTGCAAATACATTACCTTTTTTCTTTTTCTGGTAAATTTTAATCAAATTGTTAATGATATGGTAAGAATATTTAATGAATGTTAAAAATTTTATTTTCCTTCTTGAATAATAGTAATTTATGGGATTACTGTAAAATCTTATTACTGTATTATCTAATTTTTTTTTTTGGTAAATTTTAATCAAATTATTAGTGATACGGTAAGAATATTTAATGATTGTTAAAAATTTTATTTTCCTTTTTAAATAATACTAATTTATGGGATTACTGTAAAATCCTGTAACTGCATTATCTAATTTTTTTTTTTCTTTTGGTAAATTATAATCAAATTGTTAATGATATGAAAAGGACATTTAATGAATTGTTAAAATTTCACTTTCTTTCTTGATTAATAATAATTTATCGGATTACTGTAAAGTATTATCTGTTTTTTTTTCTCGGTAAATTTTTAATCAAATTATTGATGATACAATAAGAATATTCATGTTAAAAATTTCACTTTCCCTTCCTTTTTTTTTTCTAGGAAATTTTGCAGAAAATGTTCTACACAACAGGATTTATTATATCGCTTATATACTTTGCTTGCACTACTGCAAATGGTTTGCTAATTTTCATTTTATATTTTTTTCAAAATGAATTAAATTTGCCTTTCTTCATTGTCTTTTTATTTTATTTCATTTAAAATTTTTGAATTATTCAAAAATTCATAGCATTTTTGCCAAAGTAATTACTCAAAAAATAAGACTATAGCCTAATTACAATGACTTTTATATCTTTAATACAATGTCTCTCAGGAAGATTGTCACGTTAAACCTAATTAGGTATCATCCTTTGCTGTTTATGGAAAATTTAGCTAATTAAAATAATTAATTTTGACAGATTAGATTATAGCACTGATATCCGATTGATCACTTTCAACAAATTTAACTTATAGCACTAATATCGGATTAATCGCTTTCAACGAATTTAAGTTATAACACTTGATATCGAATTGCAGATAAACATATTTACAGTTTCAGCAACTTGATTCAAATTTTTTTTTTTTAGCTAATTATTTCAAGTTTTTTTATTATTAATTAATTGTTTCAGAATTAATTCAGATTTCTTTTTTGGCGTTAAATATATTTTATGGTATCTATCTAACAAATCATTGAAAATTAAATTTTATTAATTTAATAAAAGAAAATTATTATATTAAAGAAATCAGAAATGATATAATTTTAGAATGTCGAGATGAATCCATTCTTTGCAATATTACATCAATTGATGTATGTTCCAACGATGAGATTAGCCAATATTGTCTTAAAACATGCCATTTATGTGATCGAAATGACAGTATCTCTTCTACTTCCTTTCCATCTGAAGGTAATTACATATCATTTTTCTTTTAAAATTTAAAATCATTTCTAGATTAGGAATAATTAAAGTGAAAGAATGATCATGATAATGTCAAGAGTTTAGATTAAATTATATCAAATATTGATTTCGATAATTTTGGTTGTTTCAGTTACAGTACAATAAGCCGATTTCGATAATTTTGGTTGTTTCAGTTACAGTACAATAAGCTAGATTAAATTATATCAAATATTGATTTCGATAATTTTGGTTGTTTCAATTACAGTACAACAAACTACTAGTAAAAATTAAAATTATTTTATTTATAAAAAAAAGATTTATTAGAAATGAACGAAAAATTTTTTGAAGTATTTGTAGCAAAAAAAATAAAAATAACAATAATTTTGATTTTAATAACAATTTTACAATTCAACACTGATAACTGATAAGACACATGAATTGATCAGATAAAATATCAGGGGAAAAAAAGAAAAGAATAATATCAGGAAATAATTTTTCTTTTTTTGAATATTTACGATTGATCTTTTCTTTTTTGCTTTCTTTTTTTTTTCCGCAATAATATATTTTTTATTTGAACTGATACTTACCGTAACCAACGAATTATCAATTTTAAGCTTATGAATAATAGTGTTAACAAATATTCTTATTTTAAAATTAATAAATTATGTTTTTCTTTCTTTTTTTTTGTTTGTTCGGAAGTGATAGTGTAAGAAATATACAGTTATGAATCATTTTAATCATTATCAATTGTTAAAGAAAAAAAAAAAACTTTATTTCAGAATGTTCAGATCAATGGACAAATTGTACGAAATTTGATAATAGTATTTGTCAAATTGATTCTAATATTGCAAGGATATATTGTTATAAAACATGTACTAATTGTACCACTACTATCATATCAACAACTATAAAACCAAATGTTGCAACATATTATAATCATTGGTTTACAATTATTCATTGTATCATCCATTTTATTACAATGAAATTTATTGTTTAATATATTTTAGGTTGCATAAAGAATATGCTAATTAAATTGAAAGTTAATTAAAATGTTAAAATATAAGATTTAAGATTTAAGATTTAACAGCTTAGATAACCATTTGATTTACATATTTTAAAAAAAAAAAGACATTTAATTAGAACCTGATACTATCAAAATATCATCAAATTTTTTACAAAAATTGTGCATAATTTGAAAAGAGATTAATTCAGATTGATAGTATACATATCAAAAAAAAAAAAAAACTTTGATTAAAACTGATATTATCATAATATTATCAAATTTATTGCAAAAATTATGCATAATTTGAAAAAAGGAAAAGTAAATGTTTATTGGTAATGGAATGGAATATAAATTGGAAATTTGTATTTTGTGATATTTCATTAAAGTTCTCCTAAAATTCCTCCTTTAGTTATTTAAAAAAGAATTATGATATAGGAATTAAAGTAACAATCAAAAAAAAAAAAATCAACATATTACCATTCGTAACTTTTTTTTTGCCAATTTTCTCAAAACAAGATTAAAATTTAATTTGTTTAAAATCTGTTAGATAAAAATTATTGAGATAGATTTACAAATGTTACGATACTTATTTGTTTTTTATTTTCAAACGCAAAGCGTTCATTTATGAATTTCTCAAGTTTTTATGATGGCTAAATTCGTGAATTTAATTGAAATATAAACTTTTCTAATAGACTATCCGATTATTTTCCACTACTTCAGGATACATTAATTCAATTAGATATAGAGTTATAAATAAACCAACCAACGAAAAATTATCCTTTTGTAAATATTTATGATAAAAATTTTTTTTTAATTGGAATATAAAGTTTTAACAAGTCTGAAACTTTTCCAATTGGAGCATAAAGTTTTAATAAATTTGAAACACAAATTACTATTCCCTACTAATTATTAAAATATTAATTAGCAGGTAATTTTTGCCTTTCTCTTGCTTTTTACCGTTTTTTTTCCTTGCTCCTGTTTTTTCTTTTCTTTTTCAATTTATAAAGTGCATATATATTTTTTTTTTTCACTATTATATTTAGAGCTAAACGTTTGCTAGAGCATATCCATATTTACCTATCATTATTATGCATAAATGCGAACTTTTCCAGAACATGGCAATTATTTACTTATTTTCGTTTTCCTTTTTTATATTTGTAAAAATCAGGACAAAAAAAAGGATGAATTCAAAGTATAAATTGAAATCCAAAATAAAAAAGAATGAATTTAAGGTATAAATTGAAATGAAAAAAAAATAAGATATGTAAACAATTATGTAATTTTCGATTTGATTATTTTATTATTTATTCATGATTAATCTATTATCCCTCAAAATTTCATATTGTTAACTTTTTGTCGTAAATAAATGATTTCTTTTCCTTCTTTTTTTATTTTTAACAAAAACTAGCAAATTATTTATAAATGTACATTTGAAATGGTTTGTACTGCATAATACACATCAAAATGCAAACGTCTACACTTTGCAAAAATGCAAATTTAATAGCAAGCAAGAATAAATAATCTGCGATTATAAAATACATCGAATACAATCTTTTATGTTTAAGTGCATGAAATTATTTGATAAGCGATCAGATATAATGTTCAGATAAAAAACTGAAAGTAATGTAAAGATCTTTGCAATTTTACCCAGAATACGTTAATTACTAAGGTAGTACTATGCAAAATATTTAATTTAGTATTGATAGCGTTTAATTGAAGCACAGATAGTAAACACTTTTTGTCAGCACTGAAAGCTTCACATGTTAATCTACATCGTTTAAACAAAATTTGTTGAAATACGAATAAAGAAAATTACTGCTGGAGAAGGCTAAAATTTCACTAGGATGAACACTCGGAATAATTATGGAAATTTTGCAACAAAAATTTTAAAGCAAACTAATTTTTTTTTCATTTTTTTTTTTTAGAAAGAGCTTTTCCTGTAAAGCGGAAGATTTGTTATTCCGTTTTCTCCTGTTGTGGTCCGGTACCAATAATTGGAACTTTCCAAGTAAGCGGTGGATAAATAAAGTATAATGATATTGTTGCAATATTCACAAGAAGTCCAGCAAAATTGGCAATCTATAATGAACAATCTCTTTTTTTCCCTTTACGAAGTAAAATATGAATTTCAAAATGAAAAAAATTCAAAATTCCGCGCTATCGATTTCAAAAAAGAACTACCATATTCGTATTATACCCGTATTGGTCTCATTACTAGATACTACGGGATTTTAAGATTTTCGTAGATTTTCTAATCCATAAATTTCGAGGAAATATTAATACTTACAGCAATGTAGTAATTTTCAATCAGAATACCGAAAACGGTCCATTGTATTGTCAGGAAAAAGATTCCAAATTGCAATTCAGCCGGAATAAACTCCGTATGGCCAAATGATGTTGCCCGTTTCTAAGAAAACAAAAATAATGTCACTTAATCTAATGATCTAATGATTTACGCGTAAATTTTCCTGCAGCAAAGATCAATGGATATAATTTCATTTCGCTTTTTTTTCGCCTTCACTAAGCTTCTTAATGCCTATTAATTAATATTTATTTAATAATATCTATTTTACAATAAATACTATTAAAAAAAAGAAAAACCATCCTGTAACTTAAAACACAATGAGATACTCAGTAAAGTCTATTGGTACTTCATATGATACTCAATAATATTGCAGAAATTTCGTAAAATCATCAAGAATAGTCTGAATTTTGAATTTCAGCTTTGATTTGCTAACTTAATCATTTTCATTTTCCACATAGTTTTCAAATAACTCTATCATAAATAAGGGTTATTAATATAAGGATTACAAAGGGGTTAATAAGGATTATTAGTTTCAACTTCAAACTTTTTTTTTCAAATTTTATAAGGAAAAACAAACTTACAATTTCGTAGATTTGTCCACCTAAACTGATAATTTGCATAGCAGCAGCAATACTGCCCATCACATCAGATGCAATGTCATTTGGTTGCCAACTGACGTAAGAAAAGATGCAAAAGAGGGTGAAAAATAACGCAAAAAGTTGTAAGCACAAATAACGCTAAAGTAAAATGAATTTCAAAAACTTGAAAAAAATTCTTTTCTTTTTCAAGTGAAATATACCGTATCTCCAAATAATTCTTCTGATCTCGATTTTTTTTTCACTATTTCAAGGAATGATATCATATTATTAAGCTCAAGCTGGAATAGATGCTAAGTTAGATTATTCATCATGCGGTTCAGGAATAGGATAATGTGATTTTCAGAGTTATAGAAACAACGAGTATTACAGAAGCGATATAATGTGAAATAAATTTGATGCATAATTAAGCAATGAAATATTACCCGACATGGTTGATAAAAAGCAAATGCAAGGATATAACCAGCAAAAACGATCAAATTTATTGTATTAATGAATATATTTGTAAAATCATTCGTCATGTATCCATGTCGTAACCAACACCCCATCCTGAAATTGTTTTCACATTTTTACCGAAAATATCATAAAATCCCAAAAATATCATAAAACTTTTTACCTATTTTGTTATAATTTTTCATAAGGTTTAAGCTAAAATATAATATTGCATTCAGGGGAAAGTTTAAGAAATAAGAAAATACTAATAATTCTGTATTAATTCCTAGCCAATAATTGGGAGACATCGCGTCATCAATAATATTGATTAAAAAAAAGAACGATTTAGTCCTAGAAAAGATAGTGCACGTGTATTTTATGATCTATGTGACGTACGTGAAGCTGATAATCTTAAAAGGATTAGTAATAATCTCTAAAATTTGAAATATTTTTGCCTAGCGTATGTTAGAGTAATAATAGTATCATGAATAAGGAAAGCCTATGAATTGCATTGTTTTGACAATATATCATGTAAGGTAACATAGAATAAACTTAATAAAATTATACGCTATTTCATCCTGAAAATAATGAAAAGAACTATTAAATTAAGCATTAAATTAAGAATTGAATATTAAAGATAGAAAAAACAAAAATTTCGGAAAAGAAAAAAGGATTAAAAAACTAACATTAGGACAGGTAAAACAAGATTAATTGATGAAAAGCCATCAGCAGTACCACGTTTTCGCCAATCCAATACTTGAAGCCTGAAATTTGAACCATTATAATATATTTGCATATTAAATGCTTTTTTTTTGCTTCAGCTTTCTAAAATGAATAATTTGGTATGATAAAATAATGAAAGTCAATTAATTTTGCATACGGAATAATAAGATAAATCAGTAAATTAGTTCATATATTATAAAAGTTACAATGATAAGATAAATTCGTTAACATCAATTAAACTTTTTTAACTGTAATAAATATAATTAATGTTAATAAAACGGTAACAATGGAAAATTTTGTACAATTAAAATTTAAGAAAAAAAACTTACATTGGTAAAAATGTGAAGCAAATGGAAAAGAATGTCAACCAAATTGCAAAAATTGATAATAGTGCAACCATTTTTTCGATTCCAAAAAGCAATCTGTAAACTTGAATTTGATGCAAAATTTAAATATTTTGAAGTTTACAAAAAAAAAAAAGAAAAGAAAGAGTAATTGTCCCGTTATGGAGATGATTGATATGAATATTGATTATTCCAACGATATTGTCATGCGTTTTATAAAGAGATGAGATATTAAGATGGTATATCACAATGTGATTAGATATTTATATAACATTTAGAATTTTTCGGTCTATAATTTTAAAAAAAAAAATCATAAATGAAATCATACAACTAGTCTTTTTCCTGATAATTTTGAATTTTTTCTTTCTTTTTGATCAAAATCATTAAAATAATTGAATAATTCATCAGAATGAATATAATCACATTTAAAATGACGAAATGGACGATTGGAAATAAAAAAACAAGAAAGATGGAATAATATTAGAAAGGAGAAGCAATAAGATATGTCTGAAATAATAAAATAACAAATTGAAAAGCTTTTTCTTTTTCAATCATGAGTAGTCTGCTTTTTTTTTTTCAAAGCAACATCATCTTAAAAACTTGTCATTGCGCTTGTATTTTAATTAA